GGTCAAATATAAATCAGGACGTGCAGCTCCATTGGCAATAGTTGGTTGGGGTTTTTGGTAGCAACAATTTGTACGAGTGACACGAAATCAAATCCAGCCGTGTTCATCTCAGACAAACTTCAGAGTGGAAACATCATTTAAACAGGACACACAAAGTTGGACTTTATATGTCAGATCTGGCATTTTAACATTTTTAACTGTTTTAACAATCACACTTTAAGTTTTATAGTTTTTAGAGACTTTCCCACAGAATGTTAAACTTTTATGATGTTTAAACTTTACAAAAGTCTTTGAAAAGGAACTTTCTAGTCCCTCAAACTTTACACTTCTACAGTTTATAAATCAAAATGTACACTTGTGGTTTTAATTTAAATTTAAATTTAATAAAATTTGAATTCTGAATCTTCTCTCCAAAACCTAAAGTGGAGAGTCTTTAATAATTCATATCTCACACCAAATGAACTGCAGGTAAATAAATGGTTGGATTTCATGCATTAGTGTCACATTATTAAAAACCTTATTTTGGTCATTGACTAATTTTCTATCATATTTACTAAAAATTCCCTTTTCTTCTGTTGGTGCAGGTGAATGTCCTTCTGGATGGACTTCATATGGAGGTCGTTGTTTCGTGTTCGAGAGTGAAGAAAAGACCTGGGGTGGTTCTCAGGTACAACTCTTTAACTGCTCATTGTGTTTGTGTGACATGATGGACTAGAGTCAGAGTCAGAGTTTCTTTATTGTCATTCGCACCTCATGTGGTACATGCGGTGCGAACGAAATGATGTACACAGGGTCCCAGTTACATCCAACAATAAAATGTAAAAGAAAAACAGTGATAACATCAAAGATATGAACTAAGAAAAACATAAACTAAAAATACACTAAGCACTAAAAGCATAAAAACAATACGTGCAACAGCAGCACAAACATGAGTCTGTGTGAGCAGATGAGCACACATGAAAACATCAACATGAAACAGATCAGCAGCAACATGAAACAGATCAGCAGCAACATGAAACA